CTTCTCAAGAATAGCGCGGTCGCAGTGTGCCAAAAAAAATGTCGCACAGAATAGGCGCAACCCGCGAACCGATGCAGATACCCCGTTTTTGCAAAAACACCTCTCCACCAAAGGAGACATAGGTGTGGTCAAGGTAAAAAGATAAGAGTTCAACAAAACCTTCTACACTTATCCCGCAAGTGCTACGAAAGGCTGTTTCACCACTGCTCTCGATGCAACTTCTAACAGTGTTAAAGAGGACGGCATGCGGAATTGAATAAAAGAGATCCTCAACATCAACTGAAAAAGCGTCGCACTTCCCTCTACACCCTTCTTTCAAAAATTCAATCACTTCTGAATTCCGGACCAAAAACTCATCCTGCAGTTTTAGGCTTGATAGGTGGGTGCGGAGAAACGAACATACCTGGATCTGCGACGTATCTCTTTCAGTAACGATTGCTCTAAAAGGTACATCTGCCTTGTGGGTTTTTGCCGTAAAAAACAGGTCCAAGGCAAGTTTCTTGCTGGAATTCACCTTCCTCTCCAAGGCGGAGAGGGACAGTTCGCTGCACAGTTCTTTCGCCCTCACCTTCACCTTGTTCAGGGATCCTGGCTGTGCGTGCTTGAAGTTCTTAAGGACAGCATGCTCGGCCTTTTCCCAGTATAGCTCCTGCGGAAGGACAACAAAGCCGCCCTCCTTGTCAGACGTGAGCAGCTTCAGATTGTTAATTCTGAAGTGGTCAACGATCGATGTCAGCTTCGTGGCATTGCAACCGATGTATACTGGGAAAAGGCCGAGCATGCTGTCCTTAAGAACTTCAAGCACGCACAGCCAGGATCCCTGAACAAGGTGAAGGTGAGGGCGAAAGAACTGTGCAGCGAACTGTCCCTCTCCGCCTTGGAGAGGAAGGTGAATTCCAGCAAGAAACTTGCCTTGGACCTGTTTTTTACGGCAAAAACCCACAAGGCAGATGTACCTTTTAGAGCAATCGTTACTGAAAGAGATACGTGGCAGATCCAGGTATCTTCGTTTCTCCGCACCCACCTATCAAGCCTAAAACTGCAGGATGAGTTTTTGGTCCGGAATTCAGAAGAAGTGATTGAATTTTTGAAAGAAGGGTGTAGAGGGAAGTGCGACGCTTTTTCAGTTGATGTTGAGGATCTCTTTTATTCAATTCCGCATGCCGTCCTCTTTAACACTGTTAGAAGTTGCATCGAGAGCAGTGGTGAAACAGCCTTTCGTAGCACTTGCGGGATAAGTGTAGAAGGTTTTGTTGAACTCTTATCTTTTTACCTTGACCACACCTATGTCTCCTTTGGTGGAGAGGTGTTTTTGCAAAAACGGGGTATCTGCATCGGTTCGCGGGTTGCGCCTATTCTGTGCGACATTTTTTTTGGCACACTGCGACCGCGCTATTCTTGAGAAGCTCGGAGGTGATAGCCTTTTTAAAATATACAGGTATGTTGATGATTATCTGGTCATCGCCCTCCCAGGGAACAAACTCACTGATAACAAGGTGGCTGACGTAATCGGCACGTTCACGTCCTGCTCTCATGGGTTAAAATTCACTCATGAGAGGACCACGGAGGGCTCGTTACAATTTTTGGATTTAAAACTAAAATTCTTAGATGACCATGTGTGCTGGGCTTACGAACCTCGCTCCAAGAAAGCTGTACTCCCTTTTAATTCTTCCCACTCCAAGTTAGTGAAAAGAGGTATTGCTTCTTCGTGCCTCGGAGCCGCTCTGAACAAATCCTGTCCTGAGGAAATGGGAAGGAGTTTCCTTCTACAGGTAGATCGGCTCGCAAGTGCGGGTTTTCCGCTGAGATCCATTGTTGAAGCTGCAGAGGGCCTCAAAAAGAAATTTAGGGGTGCGGAAAGAAACGTTCTTGAACGCCAAAAAGTAAGAACCGCTGTAATGCCTTACATTCACGCAGTGTCTCATAACTTAAAAAAGGTGGCGGAACGTTACGACGTTCCTGTCGTTTTTTCAGCCCCTAAAAAGCTTTCTGCGTTATGCAGGAAAATCAATGATCCCGAAGGGAAGAGTGACGAGTGTAAGAAAAAACACCAGAATAAGTTTGTAGAATGTCACACTGGTGTTGTGTATGACATTCCGCTTTCTTGCGGTAGGTCTTACGTAGGCCAAACTGGGCGTTGTGTGAATGATCGCGCAAGAGAGCATGCTGCTTCCTTAAAACAGTCACCTTCGGGGCACCTGGCTGTGCATTGCAACCGATGTGAGTGCACACCAGTTTTGAATGACGTGGCAATCCTGGGGCGATACAGCAAAAAGATTACAAGGGAAATTCATGAGGCGTATGCAATAAGGAAGGGTGCAGATAAGTGCATAAGCGAGCCTTCAGTGACTCTGTCAGAAAAAGAGTGTCTATTCTTGGATAAAGAGTGGGCACGTGGAAAGTGACGTGGGTGTTTTTTAAAAGTGTATATAAGACTATGTTTTTCCATAAATAAATCTTCAGTTGCGAGTGCGCCTTGTGTCGTCGTCTTCTTACCTTGTTCTGGTCTTTCGGCGCTTGTCTTTTTCCATTATGAACCAACTGGCCCAACTCACCATTTTGTTGCGGAACTAAAAGCAGCGTCCCCCCCCCCCCCCCCCCCCCGCTCTTACCCTTATTAATCCTTTTTTTTTTTTTTTCAAAATGAACTTTTCACGCATGAATAGCTGACCTGTTTCCACACTCTTAGAAAAAAGGGTATCGATATTCCTCCCTAAAGGGAAGAACGGTCTTGTAACGTATGTTCCTTTAGAAAGGGAGAAACTTTCGTCCCTGAAGCAGGGGAGCAAACTTCCTCCGTCGCCAGTATACTGCCTTGACGCACGCCTGCTGTTAATTTCCTGGAATCTGATCTATTTCTATTGATTTCTACACACTGATAGCGGTTTTCAAAGTAACTTTTAATCATCTCTAGAGCGACACCGCGAACACCTAACATGTATAACTTTTGAATTAATGTTTCGTGATTGAAGCGATCGAATGCTTTCGAAAAATCTATGAACACTCCGAGCGTAACCAGTTTATTTTCAATATTATTTAAAATTAATTCTTTTTGCTTTAACAGCACGAATTCAGGATTGAAAATTTGTCACAAAAACAGTATAATCGTTTATGTAAAATTTTTCTACACCTTTCGAAAATATTGGTAATACGGAAATAGGCCTATGATTTCTTTAGTTATTTTTATCTCCAGCTTTCAGAGTCGTTGGCTATTCACATCAGCCGACGACCCTCAGTCACCGTGAAAGACACCTGATCTCCATCTGTCTCATCTCTTCCCCGAAGGGAGAACGAACCCAATTCTCTCCACCCACTTCCACCTACAGGGTCAAACTCTCCAGCAAAAGATAGGACAAGTGCTCAAGCTGCACAATGACGAATTCTGTGAAATTGAAGTCCAACCAAACAAAAACAGACGTCATTCATTTTCAGCCCACAGATCGAAATCTCCAAGAAAAACAAAAAAAAGAAAACCTTACAGTTTCAGAAAGGTCCTCACTTGTTTGTCCAACACCACGGAGGGAACATTTACACAATTTCCTGCAACTCTTTGCCAACAATCACTGTTGAGGTCCACTCAGGAATACAATTGTTGCATTCTTCCAGATGCTTCAACATTTCTGGAAAGACTAAGTGCCCAGGCGAGCTGGTGGTGGCTAACCGTGTCGCTTAACACCTCAGACTGGTGTAGAAAAGGAAAAGAACCTTTAGTCGGAAGGAACAGAGACATTCCAAGCTTCGACGAAAAGTTTTTTTTTTTTTTTTTTTGCTCCACAGTTTTAGGTGTTAAACGACATTTCCGAGTTAGCCGCCATTAACACCGCCCTTTTGTGCTGGCACTAAAAGAAACGCTCGCCCAAACCGGTCTACCGTACCGAAATTGACACCCGAAGACGATCAAAAGTGCTGCGGTGTCGTCCCTGCTTCGGATGTCCTGGATACGTCCTGCGGACATTTCTCAAGTGACGCGTTTTTGTACCAGTTTTCTCGGTTAGTTCGATATGGTTATTCCACGCAAGTTCTGGTGCGTATAACAGGAAACTCTTGGTTAGTCTGGGCACGTGGGAAGAAAGGAAGGGTGCAGAAAAGTGGGTATGTCTACCGCTTTTTCAGACCGTTTTTCATAATTTGAAGGGCTTGGTGACGAGGTACGGCGTCGAAGTATTTTTCAGCAATGACTTTAGGCTCAGCCGTTTGGCACATTTCTCGGGAGCAAATGACGGGTGTGGGCTGCAAAGGAGGTGTCGATTATGACATTCTCTTGGCTTGTGGTTTTTTGTGCGTTGGGCAGACTGGCCGTTGTGTCAACTAGAGAATATTAGAGCTCAAATAGAAGGTGTTGTGACAGGTGCTTACTCAGAAATAGTGAGGCATCTGGAAGAATGCAACAATTGTTTTCCCGAGTGGACCTCAACAGTGATTGTCAGCAAAGAGTTCAACCCGTTCAAAGAACTACATCAACGGGAAATTGTGTCTGTGTTTCCTCCGCGGTGTTTGACAAACAGATGCAGACTGTTTTGCAACTAAGTTCTTTTTGTATGTGTGTGTGTCTTTTTGTTGGAGATTTTGATCTGTTGGGTGAAAATGGGCAATGTTTGGTTTGGTTGGGTTTTAATTTCCGAGAATTCCTCATTGTGTAGCTTGAGAACTTGTTCAGTCTTTCGTTGTAGAGGTCGACCCTGTAAGGTGGTATTGTAATTTGTTTAAGTGTGTCTTTTGTTGGAGAGGTCGACCCTGTAGGGTAGAAGTGGGAGCAGAGGGTTGGGTTCGTTGTCCCTTCGGGGAACAGATAAGACAGATAGTGACCACGTGTCTTTCGCGCTGACTGAAGGTCGTTGGCTGGTGTGAATAAAACTTTTAGCTCTGCTCCAGACAGTTTTGCGTACGTCCTTTTTGTTGACATGTCTCCGGTTACATTACAATGGTAATGGGTGCTTCCCATTACATTATTGATTTTAGTCAAATTCATGATTCCAGTCCCATTCCCGATCCCATTCCAGAGCGTCTTCGTACCCGGCCTTCGCGTGCGGCTCGGGCTATGTGCTCTCCAGAAACCTGGTCCTGTGGCTGGCGAGGAACAAGAACTCTTTGCACCCGTACCAGGGCGAGGACGTGTCCATGGGGATATGGTTGGCCGCCGTGGCGCCCACGCTCATCCACGACGACCACAACTGGACGTGCGGGTACCCGTGCCACGAGGGCGTGCCGAGTCCCTTCAACCGGGCCCAACTCTCGCCTGCCGAGATAAAGAAAGTCTGGACAAACTTCAAAAGGACAGGGAAGCTCTGCTAATGTCACCGGTTCGTCGTTGGTTCGCCGCCGGTTGAGGACGGAAGGGTGGACGCTGCAACTAGTCTCGGGGTTATCAAGGTGCCAGATCCGCTGCGGTAATAAATTATTATTTATGTGTTATGTTATTTTGTTCTGGCCGGGGAGCTGCAGAAGCAGTTGGACACTTTAGTGTCCGAGACGGGTCCTGGACAAGCTCCCTGGGTAAGACGCGGAGTGTTGCACCATAGACAGCCTCCGATCATCTCTTGAACCGTTTGCCGAGGTTCAGTAATAGTGCAGGCCTTCATCCCGTGCGTCGGGTAATGCTATACTTGCTGATTTAATGAAAACTCGACAGTCGAGTTGTTCGTTGTTATGGCTGAATTGGCTTGGTCTGCAAATATTTACCAGTTGAATGTCAGCGGAAAGAACGTAGTGAGGCAGTCTTGATACCAGAGGCAGGTAAATTGACGTTTTTACCAGGCTGTCAACCGAACTCAAACCCGAGCCGAAAATCGGACCAAACCGTTATTTTGACCAAACCGGAAAAAAAAAAAAAAAAAAATTTTAAAATTAACATTTGGTAATGAACCCGAACCCAAAACAATCTTATGTGGCGGTTTTCGGTTGATCGGGAAACGGTTTGGCGAAACGAAAAACGAGTTATTCGAATCTTGACTTCTGCCCATCAAATGATAATATCGCTGGGCCACTGTGCATATCATGCGCACTACAGCGATAGCTGATAGCGGAGCGGACTGCATCATATAGCTGAGCGAGCCGTAGTGGACAGCAGTCCAGGCAGCATAGGATAGCGGACGAGGCCGTATAGAGCATCGGCATCGCATATCTTAGCGGGTCACGTAGCGCATGGCGGAGCGGACAGCATTGGTTAGCGGAGGTGACCACATCGGGCATAGCTGAACGGCCGGGACGCAGTGGATATCGGAGTCGGCAGCATAGGACAGCTTCAAGGAGGCCGTAGCGGGTAGCGGAGCGGGCTACATATGGACAGCGGAGCGTGTCGTAAAGGGCTATTGGAGCGGACCGCATCGGGTTGGGAAGCGGGCAGTAAGGAATTTTCGTAGACAGCGTTTCCCCCTCCGCTAAGCCCTCCGCAAGGAAGAAGCCGCTACTGCGCCTGCGCGCCGATGGCCTTGACTGTAGAGTTTCGGGTATCGTAGCGGGTTGCGGGACAGCGAAAACGTTCTACGAAAACTCGCTAATAACATCAGAGAGTTTTAGTAGACCGTTTTCGGTTTCCCGCTCCGCTCTATGGAAAGCGGAGTCGCCATCGCGCATGCGCGACCCGCTCTGGGATTTGAGCGTGAAGCGTCAGCTCCGCTATCGTCGCCATTTTGAGAAGTACGTTCCACTCTCAGTGAAGGTTCACTAGATGGCGCTTTTCTGGAAAGGTGGGTGCTCGCTATTTGAAATCATGCTTGGGAGCGCGCTTGACCCTTATGAACCTCGCTGCACTAAGAAGCTGCGCAGACTTTGTTTGAAAAGGCGTCCCCCAGAAAACGTTTCACGGTAGTCAAGAACCTCTGGCTGCTTCGAGAAATCGCTGGCCGCAGTCCTTTCACGGCCCCTGAACGGTGGGGACAGGTGCTGCCTTGTATAAGCCAGCGGGCTCGATTTTTCTATGCGAGATGAGGACGACGACGTTGAGAGGATGACACACCGGGCGACGGCGGTGTCTCAATCTGAGCCCTGGGCCTCGGTCCCTCGGAGGCGGCAGCTTCTACTTCGGCTGGACTACCTCCTTGGAGCATGATTCTTTGACCCCAGTGGACCCCAGTGAGCGATAGCGCCATTATGTTCCTGGTGCTCCTTCATGCACTGATCGAACGGCGTGCAAAATCTTCATAGCTCGCTGCTCACCCGCCCAACCCGCCTCCACGAAGTCTGGACTTCTGCGAATCGGACTGCCACCCTCCCCAATACCAACAACCCATGTCGTCGTCATCTTGCACGTATATACTCATCACATTACCAGGTTCCCTAGACGCGGCACCGCGGGCCTCGGTGGTACGGGCTGCTGCTTTCCGCGGTGCCGCAGCTCTCCAGAGCCAAAAATTAAAGGTTAAAGACCAAAGACTAAAGCAGTCGGCAAACGGACAGATATTTTGTTTGGTTACTTCAGGCATTAAGACAGTGAAAATTAGCGAAAGCGAGTGCTCCATTTATATCTCTACTTTTTTTTCCCGAATGAAATGAGTCTTTTCTTCTTCGTATGCTTCGGTTTGTGATATGGTGCCTTGGTGTTTATGTACACTGCGCGACACTGTTAGCGGGAGCATTCAATATCCTGTTTTCATTTTTCACCTTGAATTCGAGGGGCTGACATTTGCCTATTGGTGTGGAATAAAGCGCTCGTTTGGGGCACCAATCTGAGCGACACATTTTCAGCTTTTTCAATAGCTGTCAAAGAAATAAACTGCAAATAAAAGCGATTTTTTTCGTGTTCGTATTAACAGTGGAGCGCAGTGTATGTATCTGCCTTGGGGGTGACACGAAACCATTTTGCTTCACTATACACTTCTTTTTATTTCTTTTGTGTGTTTATGAAAGTGCGTTTTTCAGCTTAAGCTCCTGCCCAGTTTCTGCCTCACTTGTGCTACGGTCTTTTCTTGCAATAGAAGGCCCCGCGACATAGTCTACTCTTACAATGCTGAATTCAACAGTAACACTGTAAATTGGTTAGATGCAATATTCACACGCACATCTGAGAAGTAAAATGGGAGTCGTTAGTAAACGTTTTTTATTAAAATATTTCTAGATGCCTTTCAGCCCAGTTGGACAGGTATTTCGCTCAGTACAAAAACTGGAACATAATTTACTGTGATAATTTTATGCATTCTAATATTAAACAACCAAAAAAAAAATGCCCATGGTCTTTGTAGGTTTCGTCCAGCCGTCAAATTATGCCGTCTGCGCACATCACTGCCTGGTGCTTCACGACGAGCACCCTCTTGTGCTCTTCTTCTAATTTTTTTGATGGACGGCATATGGGCATGCTGTGCGGTCAACAAAACCCTTGTCCTTGACGTTCCCTTGTCCTTGACGGCCTAATAAAAAAGACAAAGAAAAACACTCTTACAACACGGCAGTATTTAAACACTACCAAAACATGTGATATGGGACTTGTTACTCCTCTAAGATAAAGCGTATTTCCATTGTAGGGTTGTAAAAAACTGGGTATCGTAAATTAATATATATATATATATATATAGTTGTTTCTTAATTCTGCTAAGGTTTGAGGCCGTCAAACTGTGCATGCGAGGCCCGCTACGCCGGAATTCAAAACAAAACTTCTGAAAACTGTTCTAATCTACCACTATTGCTTAGAAGTCCAGGGTTGTGTTTGCTCAATTTTGCATTGTTTATGCCTGTCTGGTTTTCACCAGACAAAAAATTGACGTGGAATATTCTTTCGACCGTTATTGGCAACTCTTTTCAAAACACCACCGGGTAACATATTCGGCCGCCATATTTTGGGCATCGCTTTTAGTGCGAGACTTGTGACTAGAACCCATTTCATATTCAGTATTGACGCAGCATTCGTGTCTAATACATTTAGACTCGCATCCGCGACAAACAATGACGTAGCTCTCTTGCCGCCTAGACACTTGGCCAAAATAAGGCGGCCTCGAAGACTAGCGGCACCATGGGTTGCACTTTTAAAAAGGCTGCATCCAAGTTTCTATTATTTTCTAAATCTACCAAGGAAATCCAACGCAAACATTTCTTGAGGAAAGTTAAACAATTCAAAAGTTGCGAGCGAGTGTGAATAAATAAAGCTAAGAGGAATGGTTTCTTTGGTGCAGCTTGCGAGTGCTATGCTCGTGGTCAGCTTTCAGTGGCATTTTCGACAGGAGGGCGCATGCACAGATATAATCGTCGTTCAAGCACGCGCACCCGTACATCTGACTGCATAGCCATAGGCCGTCCACAAAACGCGACGACTTTACCGACGCCGTGCTGGTTGCAAAGTGATACTCGTTCACTTCGTTCGATTATGCTGTTTTGTGTTACATAGAACTCAAATCGAATGGTTTACTTTTTACGCGCGGGGCGTACGCTTTACTTCTTGATTCGACCTCTTTCAAGCTAAGGTCACGGTCAAAAACATCGACGCGTATTGAATAAGTGCAGCCATCTTGAGATCTATGCGATCACGCTAAGGACGCTGAGGGCAGTCCGCTCTACAACTTGCGAAGCGGAGCGCACGCTCACTCCGCTAACTTTACGCTCCAACTCAGAGCGGGCCACGCATGCGCGGTGGGGACGATGCTTCTCGCAGAGCGTAAAGTAGAGCAAAGAGGGCTCATAAAAGTGGCCTACTAATACTCATAGATTACGAACGCGCTCGTCGTGACTTCTCCTGACACTGCCCATGTACACCTTTGGCGTATAGAAAAAATTAACTTTTCACCAGACAGAGCAGCTGTGCTAGAAACAATGGAAACGCGAAATTTACACAAACCATGCAGGGTCTCACCTGTGAGCACAGCTCTAGTTTCGCCAGGGTCAACCACCTATGTTCGTTTATGTCAGCAAGCAGGTGGCCGAACCTCTCGTTGATGTGACCCACGATGAGGTTCACAGAACTGAAGGACACCGACAAGTTCCGTCCAAACGCTCATCCAAGTACGAACAGACGGTCGGGATAGGCCAGTCGAGGAAGAACCATGCAAAGCGTCTCGCCAGATTGGCAACACCCTGCGCCGATCTGTCGGGTGCTAGTATTTGGAGGCCCGCACGCAGAACAGCCAGGTCCTTCTTTAAGCAGGATAGCTTCCTAAAGGGTTTCTTTTCTACGTTGGAAATATCCAGCAAACCGCGTTCGGAAAGGATGCTTCGGCGCTTGATGGCACGAGGGATACGAATCATAGATTCGACGTCTCGCCATCTTAATCTCGTTAGTAGAAGTCTCCTTCCTTGTGAACAGCGGGGATTCATCGTGCAGTTGCCTTGCTAGCCTTGAGCAACACTGTACTCGTACTACGCAAAAGGATGTACTCCCAATGCGCAAACTTCGTCCTTTTCTCTTATTTTTCTACTTCGAATAAGTAAATATGTTTCAGTTTTAATTCGAGTGGAGCAGAAGCTACAAGAGCGAGTGCCGGCCTTTCAGC